CGCCGTAAGCTAAACCTTGGGTTTCGTAAGCTACCGTAAGCAAATTCCTTACCGTCAAAGAAACCGGATAAGGGTTTTGATCCCCGCTCAGTGGGATGCAGTGTGCCTTAGTCAGGCGAATGGCGAATCTATGGGGGAAACTACATCAAGCTCATTTTTGACCAAGTGGGCTTTCATGGTCCCGTGGAAGGCGTGGTCTGACGAAAAAGCACGATTCACGCACCAACCACGATTCAAGCACTGCCGATTCAAGCACCCGCGATTCAGGCACTGCCGATTCAGGAACTACCCGATTCACGCACCAACGATTCACGCAGTGCGCAAGCCCGATCCAAGCACCAAAACGATCCGATTCAAGCACCAAAAGAGCTGATTCAAGCACCAAAAGGAGCCGATTCCAGCACCAAAAGGATCTGATTCTTGCACCAAGCCACACCAATTCCAACACTTCCAGAGCCCACTAACAGTTGCAGGGGTATTTGGATTTAAGGTTTAGGGTTTAGGACTTAGGGTTTGGAGGGTCTGGAGTGTGGGTTCAGGGTTTAGGTGGGGTTTAGCAGTGTATAGGGTTTAGGGTTGGGGACATTTCCAGGATTTAAGGCTTAGGGTTTGGGATTGTTTAGGTCTATAGGGCTTAGGGCTTGGCAGTGTTTAGGGTTCAGGGTTGGCTTAGGGCTCAGAATTTGGGAGTGTTTCGGTTTGTGGGTGTTCAAGGCTTATAGGGCTTGGGGGTGTTCATGATTCAGGGTTTCGCTCGCTGGTGGGATTCCAAGGTTCAGGGCTTCGGAGTGTTTTGGGCATGGGTTTTGGGGTTTACGTAGAGTCTAGGGCTTAGGGTTCAGGTTTGGGGTGTAGGGCTTAGGGTTTGGGAGTGTTAAGGGTTTAGCGCTGGGGTGTTCAGGGTTTTGGGTTGCCTGTTCATGCTTTAGGGTTTCGCTGGGAGTTTGGGGGTGTAGGGTTTTGACCTTACGCCTTCAGAGTGTTAAGGGGGCTGTTCTTGGTGTATGGTATAGGGCTTTGGGTTTGGGAGGGTTTACGGGTTCAGGATTTAGGGTTCAGAGTCTAGAGTGTTTACGGTCTTCCGATTTTTGTTGTTCAGGGCTTGGGGGCGTTTCCGGTTCAGGGGTTGGGGGTGCTTTAGGGTTTGGGTGTTCACGGTTGGGGGGTGTTCAGGTTTGATGGCTTGGGAGTCTTTACGGCTTAGGGTTTTGGATGTTCCTGTGCGGTTTTCTCACTACTGCCGCAACCTGACGATGGTGGTCCGCGCACACCGGCCTAGGCGTGAGTCCTGTAGTCTTGGTGCGCGAAGCATCCGTTTTAGTGCGCGAATCTTTCCCGTTTGATGCGCGAATCGTTCTTTTCATTTGGTGCGCGAATCGGTCCGTGCCAGTGCGCGACTCTGACGGGGCAGTGCGCAAACGGCCTTCGGCAGTGCGCGAATCCTGTGTTTCTCCCGGTGCTTGAATCCACCCTTTTGGTGCGCGAATCCGGGCTTTTGGTGCGCGAATCGGTTTCCAAGCGTGGTCTGAGCGTGTGGGTGCTTGACATTGGACAAAAGGCATTTGTGAGGCTGGTAAGTAGAGTTTTTCATTTCTTTCTTCAGCTCTGGCCGTCTTCGGATGCGAAGACCCCTCCCCAGAACTTGTGCTAGATTCCCGAATTAGTCCGTCTAATGTTTGCTCTGCAACACGCCGGCCAATCCAGACGATGACTGGAATCTGTTGTGGACACATTTCCCCATGGAGAAGCTGTGCTGAAGATAAGGTTCGCGGGCTGCAAACCGTGTTCTTGTAGATTGGGCCCATTAGACATATGGGTCCTGTGGGCCTGGGAACCGCACGGGGCATCACAGAGGGTCTGGATGCTAAAACATAACATGTGTCGGAGACTTTGGTTGGAGAGATGCAGGTTACGATGCTTCAAGTTCATGGAAGCCAAAAGTGACCCTAAACCCTAAACCCTAGTCGACCTTGGAAGTAGCCGAATGCTGCGGGAGGAGGGCTGCGGGCTCAGGACCCTCCGCAGTGTGGGTTTGGGTGTAGGTATAGCGTATCTTGTAGAAGCCTCAGAAATTACCCGGGTTACTCTTTTGAAGTCCCACATGGTCATAACATCAAAGTGAAATGTTGTGCTTGCAAGCGCTGTTTGAGGTTGTCCTCCAAGCCCTGGGCAGAATCCATCAGTAGGTATCACATGCAACAATCCCTATATGTCCGCGTAACTTGTATGAGATCATGCATAGACGTCTTCTGGTAAACGGCCCGAAGACGCAGTGGCCTGTTTTGTGCAATCCCCAAAAGGCAACCATAACACCCAGGCAGCCATTCCCAGTACAACACGTACTTAAACGCCCTCCGAGGAAATACCTCAGCAGCGTTAGCCCTCGCCCTCGCCTGGTCGCTCAACTTTTTCGGATTTTGCAGTTTGAGACAGAATTGCTAGACTCGTTAGGGGCGCATTTGCTGTTTTCTCAAAACATGACCACGTGAACAAGTCTTCAAGACGGAGTGCTGCAATCATCCTACCTTTCATTTCTTCCCAGGACCCCTGAGTGCACCACTGCTGAAATCGCCATTTCGGATGTGAAGTTTGGTTTGGTGGGATATACTACATTCTTGGGGCTGAATTCAGCTTTGCTGAGAACAATTTATTGGTCCAGGGGCGCTATGCAGGACGCACCTTCATTCGGCAGAACATCTAAAATCTAGTGCTGGTGGCTAGAGATGTCCTGGTACCCTAGATAAGGTCCTACGAAATTTGCGGCCAAGGTCTGTCCTGTAAAGCAAAGACTACATGTTCAAGCTTTACCATATTACCCCTTGATTCCAGACAGGAGGATGTGCAGGATCAGTTGCCTGACTCTCCACCCCCGAACCATCCTTCCAAATGGTAGTTTCCCTAAATACGGGGACCCCAATATAGATCCCCAAATACTATAGTCCTTATTCTGGGGACCCCCAAAAAGGTACCCCTAATTTTGGGAAACCCTCAAATCCTCGAGCCTGGCTCCTCAGATCTAACATAGGGGTCCTCAGGTACTTGGCTGCCAATACTTTACTGCAGCTGGGCAGAAGTGTACTCTGGCAAACCACCTTCTTCGTGTACAAGCTGCGCACAAGCAGGACTCCCAGGGGCTTAGGGCATGATGCTTGATGGTTTAGTTGCAGCATTCCCCACAACATTCAAATTCCTGTTCCCATCCCGCATGCCAAACTATCTGACGGGCAACTGCAAGCAAAATGACGGTTATAACGTTGATTTGCATTAGGGGTTAGGACCTTAGGAGCTATTTGGAGCCATAGCCACTAAGTGAAAAGCTCGCACAGCGAACTGCATTGGGTTTTGCATTTGGGATTGTTATCTACTTGGGAGCACTAGCTCCCATAGAGCGAAACGGATTGGACATCAGTAGGGATTAGGATGATGTTTCCCCCAGGTCCTTATTCTCGGATTTTACCGAAATAGCAGTTCGTCATAGTTCGTGATCCAAACAGACAACCTACAATACGGCTCTTGCAATGATTTGTTCCGCATGTAGGCTAGCAGATAGATACCCATTGAGATGGAAGTTCCTTTGCTGAAGGGCCCCCGAAAAGGTATAATGCGCCCTCAACTTCCACCGTTGGCCATAATCTTTCAACCCCAGGTCCCTCAACCCAACCCCCAAAGGCCAAAGTTCCTACATCCCTCGGTGACTCCTCAGCTTTCAAACGCTTGCGAAAGAAAAGGTAGCAACACGGGCCACATGCATTAGCGGGGCCCTCGACTCCAGACCCATCGCTTTGAGAAAACCTCACATGGGAGTCTCCAAAAAATTCCTGGGAAATTCCAATGTTGGGGATTTCAAAAAACTAAAGTAGGGATCCCTTTGTTAGGACTATCATGACTGCACATTTACATTATGTGATACGGGCTGATAATAGGAAACGCCCCTATATCCCCAAAGTGCCCAAAAACCGCGCATTTAAGAAATCCTCCCATGAAGGAGCCAGGAGCACGTCATTTAGAAGCGAAACTCGTCGGAATCGAGGCTCTTTGGGGAGAGGGCCTCCTGCCTATGGCCCTCCCCAATACTTTGAACCCCTCCCCAAATTAATGCGGCATAACAAGCCCCATGATCCCCAACATTCCCTCACACGGCCTGAATATGGGAGTTCCCACGGATGGGCGGGGCGTAATAGCCACGCGATTTTGCAGAGGGATTCCTGCCTCATGGCACCGTCAAGGATGTAGGGTGATACTGTAGGGTTTAGGGCCTCAATCCACTTCTAGGGCCTGAAGATTGAGGGCTTGGGGTTGAGGTGTAATTAAGCTTTGCGATTTGGGGTGCGGCAAAGAGTTTTGTTGGGGAGGCCTGGGTTGCGTATATCCATGTGCACGTGGCCCCATGGCTGGTACAGCGCACGCATCCTTCGCACTAATGTTCTTTTTGATGCATGAGGACTGTTTTATACAACGGGAATGACGCGAGTACGTCCATAATTTGGTTCAGGCACTTGCTTCATTGTTCTCTATATGTATATATCATATACACATATATTCATATCAGGGCGCTGCTTTTTGCGCAAAGATGCTGAGAACGTGATCCAAGGCACGTGACACGCGCGACACACCTCCAAAACATTCACTCCCAATCCTAAACCTAAACTCCAGAGTGCGAGCAGAGGTACAGCCTCCGAAACCAGACACAGGTCGCGGACTTTCGCCGCCGGCTTTCTCAGAAGCCAGACGCTCCGACACTCAAGGGGTATGTATAGACATACATATGTATGTCTTCAGTACATTTGGGGCTTCCTGAATTTGTGGGACCTTGTTCAGTGGCTTGAAAGGTTCAGAAGAGCCTTGAAACTGCAGGGTTTCCAGAAGTGAGGGGTGCCTGTTCGTGGTCCCTGTAACAAGTTTTCTAGTGATTGGGTTCCTCATCGGGACAAAGCATATAAGGACGGCCTATGGTTGGTGAAGAGCTGCTCAGCTGGCCGATCGGAGGGCATCGTGCTTTTGTCCGGACGGCCGGAAGATTCAGAAACTCTCCACAAGGTGGGGGATCCCTAAACCCTAAACCCTAAATTCAGAAACTCTCCACAAGGTGGGGATTCCGAAAACTGTCCTATGGACTTTGGTGCCTTGGGGGTGTTGGGGGGCCCAGAAACCCTAGTGTTGAAGAGACGGAAAACGAGGATGTCCCAAAAGTTGTTATGTCAGATGAGTATTATGTTGTAAGGTGAGTGCATCATACAAGATGTGTGTGCAGGTTGCCAAGGGTGCCTACTTTCTGAAACAGAGGCATTAGGGACAAGTTTGGTCTAGGACCCTAATATGCTACATAATTTTGAAGCGGGACCCCAAACCCTGAAACCCTAAACCCGAAACCTTAAATCCTAAACCTAAAACCCTAAACCTTAAACTCTAAACCCTAAACCCGGACCTACCAACCATCCCAGTTTGCAAACCCCCAAATCGGAAACACAGTGCGAACAAGCTTCTGGACATGAGGGTTGCTTTCCAAAAGTCTGCGAGGTGATGTACACCTGGGCGGTGGCTCAAAAGCATCTTGGGAAGATACGGGTCTGGGGGGGTTGAGGGGTTAGGGGTTTAGAGTTTAAGGATTTAGGGGTTCAGGGGTTGAGGGGTTCCGGAGTCTAGCAGTTTGGGGTTTAGGAGTTTAGGAATTTTGGGTTTAGGAGTGTAGGGTTCAGGGGTTCAGGGTTTAGGGGTTTAGGGGGTCAGGGTTTAGGCCAAAGACTGGAAAGACTTGGAAATGGGCTATGTCATTGCTGTTCCATGGTGAGAGGAAACCGATTCAGTTTGGGTCTTGGCTGCATGACACGACCAGCAGGGTTACTCCTCAATGTCAAAGACTTGCCAAAGAACATGTTATTCAGCACTTGAGCTCCCACCAGGGATATATACTGAAATTCAGGCGTGCTTTAGCATATTAAGGCCCTACTTGCGGATCATTGAGGGCGCAGCAGGCCTGGGCATTATAGAGAAACACCGTAGAAACCCTATATACACCGTACATCCCTATATATACCCCTCACGTATAATGCACCCCGTAATATAAACCACCCCTATATACCCTCTATAATATACCCCCGCTATATACATACCATATTATACATCCCATACAGCCCTTATATTACACCGGAACCCCCCAGGTACATTGAGAAGCCTTACCTTGGCTTTGGCGAGAGGAAGTTTCACATGCGCCTTTACGTTCCTTGCATCAGGAGTCCTGGGCCTTCGGCTTTGTCTCAGGGCTTTCAAACCTGACTTAAGGTTTTGAGTTCAGGGTTTAGGACTCATGTGGGGTTTTCAGGGCTTGGGGTCAGGCTGGATGCAAAAGGGTTAGGGTGTAGGGATACTACGGGAACATTGGAAAAGCAACTGGCAAACAATGTTGGAACTGCGATTGCCTTTTTCGTACGTTGTTGAACCTTGGTAGTTGGCTTTCAGGAGTTTTCCTATGTACCCTTAGGGTTTGTACCCTTGGGTTCGGGTCCCTAAACCATGGAATGTGGCCCCTAATCAGGGCACTTTGGGATCCAAAACCTGGTAAGGAGCTCAGAGCCAACACTGGTAGCCTTAAGTTTTGAGTTTTGGCATTCTCCCATCTGGACGGAAGGCAAACAGTTTAGTCCAAGCTGGCAAGTAGTTTCGGTGCGATAACGATTGCCTGTTCGTGCTGACAGCCAGGTTGGCAGGAATCAAGCCACCTCTTTGTATAACCACAGTTTCCTCTTGTTTTCCATGCTCTTTTCCATTTGATTCTCCTTTTGGGGGGCAGGTTTCTTCCGCGACCCCGTGCCAGGTAGTCTAGTCTCTGCAAAGACCCGAGGAAGCTCCCCAGCTTTGTAAATTGTGAGATTCTGTTCGCCCTCCCACAGACATGAAGAAGTCCCATGTAGTATGCATGGTGTCATAACGGCGGCCGCCTCGAGCATGGATGATCTTCTCTGTAATGCCGCAGCCCCCTGTTCGTAGCTGGCTTCAAGAATTTCTTGAGGCTTTTTCAGGGAGCTCCTCCTAGTTCGTGTGCTTCGTTTGGAGATTGGAATCAATCCTAGGTTCTGGTAACTTCGTGGCATTCCCCGGCTGTTTTCCTGTTCAACGAGGGCTTCGTCTTCCGAAGCCGGCACAAGTGCCCGGGTTCAACAGTTGGGTTCTAGGTCGAGTCCCCGACCCCCCCTGCATGGCACATATGTGTGGGTTTTGTTCAAAAGGGGGTTGCTTCACACGGTCCAGAAAATTGACACGCCCAGGATGCATCCCAACAGATCCAGGTGAGTCTCTTGAAGCGTCCTGTTTAGTTCATTGATTTCACGACGAGGGGGGCGGTTCAGGTTGAGGATGCTCTAAGATTAAAAAAAACTGTTCTTTGCAAGCCACATGGGCAAGCAGGTATTGCACGGGGAACCAAGGGTCAGGTTAGCATCAGAGGGATTCCCTCGTTGCCCAGCACCCTGCTAAACGGATTATAACGGGAGCCCCAAAACAGGGAATCTCAAGAATGTAGTAGGCATATACTAGAAATAGTCTACCAGGGTTGCTATATTCCTAGACTATTCTTACTACAGTCTTGGGATTCCCTGTTTGGAGTCCCCATGTTGTTGTCTGTTGTTGTTATTCAGCGCAGGTATGATGCTTCGTCGCCTTCGGTAAAAAGAGCCGCTTGCATGAAGCAAGCATTACTCTTTGGATATGCCTGAAGCCTTTAGCTACGATCTGTAGCAGACTGGCACAGTCTACAAGCTGACAGAGTTTGCGGCAAGGCAAGACTGCAGCCGCCCTCACATGCCAACAACAAGATGTTGCACCAATTTTTGGCAATTGGAGCGCATGCCTGTTCAGAGTGTAATCCCGCCATTCCTTGAAGCCAGGGCTCTTACGCAAAGAGCAACGGGCTTCGGACAAGATATGGGACTCTCGCAAGAGGAAGAGGCAGACAAGTGAGGTTCTGGAGCTTCAACAGCCTAATTAAGGCCTAAGGCCAATAATTGACACTACATGTTGGCAGGCTTCAAAGAATTTCAGAAAGGACCGCGGAAAGGATTGATACTGGTGTAAGCATTGGGAAAGCACTCAGCTGCACCCTCAGACGTGAAACCCCAAGCGGCCCGAGAGACAAGGACGTCTTTTCTGCAGTGTCTGCTGATGTGGAGAGTCTCGCCTTAGCATCGCTCTGGGAGCATCTTGGAAACAAAGCTAGATAAGAGTGTTTTGTGGGGTGCAATGATTGAAGCCCAACGGCTACTACTGCGACTACCCCGGAGTCTTCTTTGCATGACGTTGTTGAGGCTTCTTTTTTGAGGGTAAGCTTGCTAGAAGTAGTCGCAGAATCCCTCACTCGGCTTCAGGGGTTAAAGGTCCGCGGAGTTCAGGCTTCAAGACTTTGACTCCTTTCTGTTGGAAGCGCTTTCCCGTGCCATCTTATACCCTACTCTTCTTGCCAGGTCTCCATCCCCTATAAGACTAGACAACTTTTGCTCCAAGATCACAACCCCTTGGCCAAGAAGAAGGCGGAAGCTTTCCCAGACCCTCCTATGTAGTTCCATTTTGGGCAGTATATTCTAAGCCCTTACTAAAAAACCATAACACACCTCATTGGGAGCTCTTGGGTAGGCATCTGGGAGAACGCACCACCGATGTCTGGCAACGCCTTACCCGCGCTGCCTGGCCAGAGTTGAAGGTCATCTTTTTTTTCATCTTTGGCTTAGAGGACGCTAGAGGACGCTGTGAGGTATCCAATGCTAGAATTCTTTTGGGTTTCGGGTTGAGGTTTTGACCTGAATCTTGGTTATATTCTTCAAAAGTCTGTATCATCAGGTGTTGGTGGAGACTCTGAGCACCTCGTTGGCTGAGTCTTTCGGCCCAACGGAGAGATTGGAGCAAAGATCGCCGCGCGGTCTGGATTTGAGATATGTTCCGTTGATTTTGTCGGAGGTTTTAGGGTTTTAGGTGGCAAAAGTGGAGTCTTGCAAAATTAGGGGTACCTTTCGGGGGTCCCTATAATGAGAGCTATAGTATTTGGAGTCTGTGTTGAGGTCCTCCTACTTAGGGGAACTACCAAAGCAAGAGTTCCGGAGTAAAGGTGTGTGAATGGAGCTTGCAGGAGGGCTTGAGGTTGATTCGTATGCGCTCGTCCCTTTGAAGACTATGTTTAAAAGGGATTTGAGATTGGGGTTCCTTGGTCTGCACGGTAGTTGTTGTGTTGTGGTTCCTCCGCTAGCCTGTATTTCAACTTGGGTTTCTGGATCGTATTCTAGGGAATCTCTTCATTCTGCCGAGTTTCACAGAGAAGCCCCATCACAAACGCCGCTGGCAAGTTCTTCAAGTCTTCGGGGAAGGCTTGCAGCCAGGTACGCATGCTTCGACATTTTTGGCGTTGACGTCATGCTGGACGACCACCTTCAGCCGTTCATCCTTGAGGTTAATACTGGACCGAATCTGTGGCTGGATGACACAAGCACTGCAAACCAGGCCACTATAAAGGGGGCATTTGTTCCGTGGCCTGAAAATATAATGCTTTCTCCTTTTTTTTGACTAGGTTCTTGAAGCGTGTCCCTTTATTTGCAGGTATGAGTTTTTTCTTTTTCGTTTCGGTAATTGTTTACACGAATGCTAGTAGAGAACCTATAATATGCTCTTTAACGCTCTAGGTCCCAGAAGGGCCACCCAATTTCGAGAAAACTCAGTACTGAGCAGCCCAGGTTCACCAAGTTGTACTTTGGGCCCATGAGTGGCTCAGCCGGCATGGCTCCAACCAAGCATCGGGCTGGGCACACAAGATGCTTCTAAACTTCACCCGCCTTGCCTAGCAAAACAGACGCGGCCTGAGTATCTTGCAGCTGGCAGAAGTCCGTCACAATGCCTGTGATGTGTTTGAGTTGACCCCACATGTGCAGGGCAAGTGTAATTCAGGTTGCCATGGCATGAGGGTCTCAAGCCGCATTTGCCTGGTGCCTGGCAGGCCTCTTTTTGAGATGTTGTGATGGTATATGGCCCTATAGTCCCTACAAGTCTGACCCATCAGCCCTAACACGTAAGTGAGCTTTTGACCAAGCACGCAGTAGCCACTCTTGCTCAGACTACTTGCCACAGGAGGCTCTCATAAGGTTGTTAGCAGTGTTTTTAGGACATGCCGGCTAAGCTCTCCCAGCAGAATAGTAGGTTGGTCTCAAGATTGCAGCGGCTTTGAACACACTTGACTTGGGCGGACGATCAAAAAACGGATGGTCCCAGAGACGAGCGGCACGTCTTCTATTGTAGACTGGTTATGGGCTGATGTTGGGATGTCCCGGGGTTGTCCCCAATATCTCTATCTTTCCCAGCAGAATGACTGCTTTGGCATCTCCGATGGCCTCTAAGAGCAGCTTTCAAATGGCTCTGGAAGACATGGCAGATGCTTATGATTGCCTCTCGGCGCATTTGGTGTGATGGCTTTTGTCATTGGCCGTGATATTATATACTGTACTCATACAAGCCCCATATTTTTTCATGGTGTCTAGGTTTGTTGCTGTACTGCTGCTACGGCTGGCATTCTTAGTTTGGATATCACATGTTCAACCTGCAAAGTCGCACGACGACTCGGCGCACGCAATGGTGCCGAGCACATGGTTGCTACCTGATGACTATGCCGAAACAGATATCTAAGCGTCGTTTTCCTCTTTTCCTGTGGTTACCAATGACGGCACAAATCCCAAGTACATTAGATTGTTTGGATTCTTGCATTTGATGGCAGCAATTTGGGTTTGGTCTTGCCAGGGAACGTCTTGTGGGCACCCGATGCTTCCAAAAACTAAGGGTTAAGTTCTCGGAGGTCCTTATAATGAATTTGACAATGGGAGCTATATTGGGCTTTCTTTTTTTATGGAAACACAATCCTTCAGCAATTTAGTCTGCAGTCAGGCAGCGCTGCTATCAGCAAGTTGGGGAAGGCATCAAAGTGGGCGCCCTCCTTGGCAATCCTAGAAGGCACTCTTGCTGCATGGTCTTGTGGCTTCGAGTGAAGAATTGTGGGATCTTAAACTCATATATCTTGTTTTGAGGGGGTACGCAGTACGTCGTGACTTACATGTTCACGATTGTTCACGGAACAATCACTTTCAGTAGCGTCATTGGCGAATTCAGACTTTCAGGCTTTTGAGCTTCTTGCCTTAAGTTCTGGCAGAGGAGAGGCCGTAGAAGTGGCTGACGACCCAAAACATGATACGGTGCCGTCAGTTTTTGGTATAGGTTCATTCTACAAGACCATTACGCCTGATTGCAGCTCACTGGATCCAAGCCGATACAGCAGCCGCTGAAGAAATCTTGCATGCACCTCCTTGCATGCTTTTCGCCTAGGAATGCGGGAAACATGTACTGTATTCTAGGTACTAGCAGATGTTCTACCATATTGGCACCGGCTTCCCCTGTCAGGGTAGCTAGCGGGGAATGAGTGGAATGAATCAACGCATTGATAGAAGCCTGGAATCCATTCAGAAATCATGGACTAAACCCCATAATCCCTAAACCCTAAACCCCTAAACCCTAAATCCTAAATTCTTCCCAGCCATTCCTTCCTTCCCGTGCGAGCAACGCCCGGATGAGGCATGCAGCCCTTGCGGTTGTCTCCAAACGATGTTGTGAAGCTGGGCCTGATTTACTGTTACAGTCCCATGGCCTCAGGGTTCTGGGCGTAGGAGTATAAGGGTGCTGGGGCTCAGGCGCCCCAATACGCTTTGGAGACCTCACCCATACTTTTGGTCTTTGTCATAATAGGGCCCTGGCCTTCCCCCGTCCCCAACAGGTAAATCCACAACATCAATCATCATTCCGCGAAACCAAATCAGGAATCTGCATCTCATGAAGCAGGCATAAGTGAAATGCCCCACATGACTTTGAGACGAGGTACAACTCTGCCCTCACGGCCTGTGGCGCCCAAAGATGGCGTCAGGTTCTTCATCTGCTCGCCACAGGTAGAGCTGACCCCAAAATTCTTCATTTTTATGCGGGGGTCCAAGACGTTGGTTCCCTCGTCACATGTGCAAGCACAGTGATGACAGCATACAGTAATTTCTTACTAGATGCGTTGCTAGAATACATCATGGTGCCCTGCTGACTTGAATTGATGGCATCGATCCCTTGAAAATGCTGTTGAGTCTAAGGTGGAAGGTGGCCCCAAGACTTTGAGCCCAGGGCTATGGATTGGGAGTACGGCTTTGGATGAGGACTTGGAGAGATGAGAGTTTCGGATGCATGGTTAGAAAGCCTGTCAGGCTTCAGGACAAGCCTGGCAGAAACCCATGAAGGGACTCCTCCGCTTACATCAGAAGCCTTGCTTACATGTCCTTTCGTGTTCTGGCATGAATGAATAACTTGTGCTGTATAACCCACCCCGAACCCATTCTGATTAAGACATGCGCCAGTAACTTCCGAGAAGTCATGTGCGCATGCCGCATGCTCATCATAGCCCACATGCGTGCGCAACCTGCATACCCATACAAAGCGCGCTTCTGCTTATTTGGGCCCTGCGCAGTCCAAAAAGCCATCAAGCCTGGCTGAACGTTTGAAAGCCCGAACCTGAAACCTTACAGTCCTGAAGACTTGACCTTGAGTCCCCAACATTCTCGAATCTTCATGCTGCGTTATTAACCTGAATCCCCAGACCCTATGCCTGCCATGTCATGGACCGCCCTGATGCGCTTTTGAATTCCTCCCATGCCCAAGGCAGCCGCTTTAGCGCTTAAACCCTGAAGCCTAGATCGGGCAGGCGAGAACCTCCAGCTCTTCGGTTCCCGAAACCAGCGGATTGCTGCTACGACTGGACCGTTCTTTAGATTGGCCTCAAAATTGGCCATCCAAGATTTCGGGGTTTCCATAAATACTCGTAGCAGGGGACCCAACATAGACGCTGAAAAAGTATAATCTTCATTATGGGGACCCGCACACAAAAGCACCAAGTTTTTGGACGCCTCATCTAGGGTTTCGGAGATTTCAAGCCTTAAGTTGGGCCCCTAACCCTAAACCGTCTCATGTTGACTCATGTTGTAAGGTCAAAGGCTCTGGGATGCTTGAAAGAAGCCTTTTTATAACCATAGCTACAGAGTTGCTATTAGGGCAGGGGATTCGCACATTCTGGAAAATGCCCTTCTCCTTGCAAGGAGAGAGCTGAGGAATGTGGCGGTATCCATTCTTGGGAGAAATAAGGCCTTCATCAGACCAGATATGAACCCTGGGTAATTAGCTATAACCAGCGAAAAATATCCTATAATCTCCTGTGACAACAACATGGGCGTAAAATAGTCTTGATTAAAGATAACACTGGTGTTCAAAGAGTTCCGAGGGTTCTCCAGGCGAGTCGAGTCCGTGTACTTCAACGAGGGCCAGGGCTTATAATCGGATCATTTTCCTTCTGTGGTGAAAAACCTGTTTTGTCTATGGTTCGGGAAGTTGAGCAAGGAGGGGATCTTTTGTTCCGACGTACGAATGGCTTTAGTTCACTGCATGTAATCCACCCGGCTCACTTCGGGTAACTTGGGATCGCCACTCGGAGAGGTCCGCACTCTCATCCCCGAACCCGACAAGAATCTTCGATCCTCACCCAAAAAGCTGGAAGCTTCCAAGCTAAGACAGAACAGAAACCTAACGACCCCCCTTACTGTAACTCTAGACCCAATCCTGCAGGACTGAAGCCCGAAGCCCTCAACATTGCGCCCAGGCTCGGAACTCCGCCATGTCTGCCTGCACGCGTGCCGCCAGGCCCAGCAGCCCTGAACCAACACCAGCTCACTGGGTCCCATTCTTATGTGGAAGCTAACCATGATTTTGGGGGCTTCCTTGTGCGGATCAGTAGTAGGCCCTGGAAGATGATCTGCGTACTAGTGGTTAGTTGGTTAGTGAGTATACGGGAATATGCTGTATAGGGATTTATGGGGGTTATATTGTCCTATACTATTCTTCCCTACTAACCACCAGTAAGTCTAATGGCCGAGGGTTTCTAAGTCGGATTTGGAAAGCCTCACTAGCATTCCTGGTGGTCAGTAGTGCGGCTCCCTCGACCTCTAGGGCCAGGGATGAGACTTCAGGAGAGTTTCGATTCCAGCGGTTTAGGGCGTCGGGGTTCTGGCCCTCGGAGGGGTTTACGTGGCTGGCCAGGAAAGCCAGCAACGAATGCCAGAAGGCGATGAGGCACAACAAGCAGCAACTCTGAGCTAGCTTAGTTAGTTGTTAAAGCCTCTAAGGAAGCAGAGGGGCTCAATCTTTTCAAGACAATCCCTTAAGATATTGTTCTGCGCATCTCCAAACGCTAGGCGATCGGCCAGCGACATAGGCCCTTTCGAATTTCGCCCTTCCAGTATTTACCCTTAATTGTATTGTAAGTAGTCCGCCGAAAGCAAAATGAGCCTTCTTATCCCAAAGTAGCACCCCTATGGCTTGTGAGCAGGTGGCGGGAGACTTTGGCGTGTTTGGAAACCCTGCAAAGCACGGGGTTGTTGCCAGACAGCTGGAGACGGGCTGTTGCGTGCAGTAGCGTCTCAGCATTTTGTGGTTGGAGCAGGCATTTGGCATGATTGTTCTTGACATGCTTCGTTTGAGTTCGTGAGCCGGTAAGCCCTTTCCACGGTCCACCTGATTGTCGGGGTGCGGCTGCTCAATTAATATTTCTTTTGGCAGCAGCAGTGGCAATGGCCATGAAGCCGGACATGCTTGCCTTATCTGTGCGGCAAGGTTGCTTTCAGAATTCAGCCCTCGCACCTCAGCTGCCTGCAACTCCTTGGCAGTCCCAAAAATATCCCTGCATACTTTATGGGGCTGTTCGACTTGTAAACCTTGACCA